GGTATTTTTTTTTTAATTGTGCTTATCTGGCTTATTACCCAAGATAGTAAAACTTTAGTGTTACAGGAGGTACCAACAGATCATTATTTCCGAACTTATTATATTGCTGAAAAAGGTCACAGTTGGTTTTCTTCGCCACTGTGCTCCGGTAGTACTCCGCAACATGTAGTTATGTTTAACTACATAAAACACGTGAGTTTACGCAAAAATGCTTAATAAAATTGAACTCGTTTACAAAGTTTCTTTGTTTTCAGTTTTTTTCAGTCTATAGAAACAGGCCTAAGTTTCTTTTCGGCTTTCACGGCCAGTTGTCTCACGATTCTTATAACTTAATCGGTGCTGCCGATGACGATTTATATAAATTTCTCAAAGAATTAAATGATAAGGGACATTTAAACAACACAATCCTGATATTGATGTCTGATCATGGACACAGGTACAATTTAATTAATACATTGTTTCATATAACTAACTGATTAACTAACTTTCTTTGCATTTCCCGAAAACTACAACATCTCACACCCCTAACTGTATATATCTTTACGAACAATTATCTAATCTAGGTATTCCTCGGCTACTCTTTATTCCTGTTTCTGCCTCTAGCATATCTCTAACTAGCCCTTCATATCTCAAAAACTGACCTAAATCTTATCTTTCCTTTTTCTTTTTGACTTCCATTGTTCTTCTATTTACTGTTCCATTAATAAAATATATTTTTTAAATAAAAATATTTTTTTTACGAACGAATAACATATAATTTATAATTTATAAAATTTAATTCATATTTTGAACAAAATTCGCACCTTAAGTGTAAAAATATCCCTTTGTATTTTTTGTGTATTAATCCTAATTTTCAGATTTGCCAGTATAAGAAATACCATTCAGGGAAAGCAGGAGGAGAGGTTGCCCTTTTTTTCATTTACTTTTCCGAAATGGTTTCGAAAAAAATATAAACAGTATTATACGAATTTCGTAAACAACTTAAATACGCTTACTACCCCATTCGATATTTATTCGACTCTCAAAACAGTGATCGATTTGAATACTGTAAAGAACAACACCTTGGACCATCGTTCAATTTCGTTATTCAGCAAGGTTAGTCCTTATACCTTACATATGCAAACAGTACATATGTTTATTTTTGGTCACACCTGCATGAGATACTGTAATATACCTACTAATTCCTAAATGTTTTTATACTAATGTAATTTAAATATTTTTCATTTTCACACAAAATTCTGTCTTTCGTAGTATTTTTTTTCGTTTCAAGAAGATTTAAATTGTATAGCAATACATAGGTACATATGCGAATCCATATCATCATTATAGAGAAAATTTGTAATTNCTGCAACAATAAATATGCAGGTTTTTGTTGTTACAAGGTGAAAGAGTACAAGGGAAAACTAAGTTCAAAAATTAGATTCCAATTTTTAATTGAAAAACTATATTCTTTCGTAATATCGTAGCGTAACAATTTTGACAAAGTTTTTCAGAAAGCATTGTTTCAACAGAAGCTTTGCTTTACAACGTTTCCGACAAAATTAACTTCTGAAACTTATATAAAGAGTTATCATTTTAATTTAAAATTCTAATTAAGCAACTTATGTAATTCCCCTCGGACTTTAATTCGCTCTTTTAATGTTTAATAAATAATGCTATTCCAATTTATACTCATTAAATTTCCATTTGTCTGCATCAATAAAACGAAAAATTTGTTAATCCAATAAAACCTATTACCGCAAAATAAAATGCATCCATATACCTAATCATTTGGTTAATTATTCAATTTACAGCATGTAATCAACACCAAAACCAATTAAGTTATTTATTTTTTAAAAACAACCGCGAACGTTTCGTCTAAAGTTGTCGAACTTCCTCAAGACTACTTTTTGAAACAAAGTAAAAAGTAGACAACTTGAAGCAAGGTATAAGCTAGCCTTAAGAAAATTCATCAACTTAGGGCGAAACGTTGGCGGTTGATTTTCAAAAATGAAGAACTTTTAACGCCGTTTGGCTTTGATTACACGTTGATTACTAGAAGGACAAGAATGGAGAATAAAAATAAATGTTCAACTTACATCCTGTTATAAATCAATATTTATATTTATGTACACCTTAAATTTTTGTAATAAGTTATTTTGGTTTTTGTACGTATAATTCATGATGACCTAATAATATTTTTGTTATTTTCTATTCATACTGAAATTTAAATCAAACAATAATTCGAATTAAACACTTGGAATATTCAAATTATTATTGTTTTGATATAGTAATGTTTCACCAAGAGGTAACACCAAATACCTTCAACATTCAAATTTAAATCTTTATCTGTACACAATTATTTCTAATTTTAGCATATAATTGGGACAACTTTCACTATTTTATGAAACTACTTTTAAAATGTTTTAAAGCCTAGACAAAAATATAAAAAACATTCATTAAATGTCAAAAAAGTAAATAACTGCTTTCGCTCAAATCCACCCTTAGTTTTAAATATTTCTCAAAAAGACATAATGTTAACTACTGAACATTACTGCAAAAGTGCACATTAGATACGTACATAAGTTTATTTACTATGAACCCTTGACTTATTTGGTTCGCATATTTTCACAAAATTGTATCACTATTGTTCACATCACTTTTCACTTTGGAACGCGTTTTTGCAAAGTCCGTTTTTTATCAAGAATGAAAAGCACTAAACGATTAGAATTTAAATAACTTCGAATTGTATTTGCCCACGAACGAAGAGGCAATAACACGCTGAACTTAACTAAGTCCGGCTGCAGCTTGGAAAACGTTTCAGAAAAGGATAGATTGTTAGCGAATTGTTATGTTGAAATAAAGGACAAAACATGTGCCTCGTTATCACGCTTTAAACAACGTGAGTATAGCACGTTTGTTTCAAATTTACAGTCAATAGCAAAAATAATGCGCATGACGTATTTAATAGGTACGTGACGATTAAAGAAGGAAAACTATTGTCCAGAAACACTGCGGCAGGAACGAAAGTCCTATTTATGAGCACGTTGGATTTACATATGCCATTGTTTACATCAATTCATGCAATATGTTAATGGAAAATCAAAAAACTGTTCAAAGGTTCCATGCCTCTATGGCAAAAACGTTCCTACTCCTACGGTGAGAACATTAATTTTACGTTGTTGCTACGTTCCCTGAGGATGTCAGCCGCAGCTGCTTGTGAAACGTCGGATAAACAACTCCAAAGGTGTTCTCACTGTACTATTTTGAATTCTGTAAAAGCCTTCATGGAATCTTAATAAAAATAATAATAATAAATAATTTTGAAACATCCGGAAAATGACAAACAATATTGAAAATATCAAAGTAATTTTAAGGTATCCCTGAAAACTATGTAAGCATCACTTAAGAAAGTGACGAAATTGAAAACATCAAGTGAAAATGTTGAAGCATTGTAAATTTTTGATTTAGTTTGATTATTTTAAAAACTACCTCTACTATGCTCTCTATAGTTTGTCGAAAAAGTATATTTTCCAGTGAAAATTTAATAACACCCTGAACTTTTTCAACCGAATGCTGCATCACAAAATATTCTTTTCTTATTATCAGTAGGCGAATAGTACTAGTAGTAATAGTACAAAGTAATAGTGGTAGTACAAAGTGCTTTGGTACTTTAATTTAGGGGTAGTTTGAATGTTTGCCATTGAAGAGGCGTTATCTTAATTAGATATAAAAAGGAACAAATTATGTAATTAATGTTTCTTCATGTACACTAATAATAAAAAAGACCTTAAAACTATTTTTTCCGAAATTTTAAGCGTATCTACTCCCAAAAAATGTCCCCCCTCTTCATTTTCGCAAATACTGAGAAAAAGTATGAGAAAGATTGGTTTAAACAGAACTTTACGTAAACTTTGCAATATGACCACTGCGGTTATCCTACTATAATTTTTTTTTATTTATNAAAAATATGAGAAACCATAAAATTAATAAAAACTGTAACAAACAATTTTGAAAAAACCAACAGTTGTAGTATATATATTATAAGGTTTAGTTACAAAATCGTTAAATTGTAAAATATTTTGTATTATTTGTTTATTATCAAAAAGCCTAACGTACGCCTACTTTATGGCATTGAAGTGTTCACACATGTAGATACGGAGTAATTGCTAGACACGTAGAATTACCTACATATCTATACAGAGACACACATAAATATACCAGAACTTGTAGACTTTCTTTTTAACTACGATATTGTTAAATAATATTAGTAACATTTGGGGTTACCGGCATTAAAACTGTGGTATGTACTTATTAAGAAACAACCAATTTTTCATTTAATAGATTTGATTTAATAAATTTGCGATAGTTTTTACCAATTTTCAGAAAAATCTAAACTACACAATTTGTAAAATAAAATACCACGTAATTTCTCGGTTTATCTAAACACAAAAATAGCGTCGCAGAGTCTATAAATAAAACACTTTAAGGCACTGTGTCCTGTTTCTGCATAAATGAAATGTATGTAATACAATTACTTTCTAAAGCAATCGGAATCAGTGCCTGTAAGCAACATGTTTATTTTTAAGCAAAACGGTTACATAAACAGCATATTAAATTTTTGCTGTTATGTGACTATACTGAACAAACCTATTAGGTTTTCCCAGTGTCAGGAACAATTGTAGAATGAATCCAAAAAGTTAATTAAATGCTCATCTATTTTCAAGAAGAAAAAATACATAATAAAATAAACTTATAAGTTACATCACGAAGACATTTTCATAAAGTAACTTTTTGATTTGAAATTTATATTTTCTAATTTTATTGCCATGTTTAAATATTCTCCCATTTACAAATAACAACTCGATAAATAGTTATTTCTGTTATAGTTCCTGAAACTATTTTTATGGACGATAAACAGAGCGTAATCCATGTATACTACATCATACATTTGCGAAAAAGTAAATATTTTACATTTTCTGCTAATCTACGGCCTATCGTTTTAAAACGTTAATTTGTCGTTTAAATTACTTCTATATTCGATAATAAATATGATAATATAAGCTATTAAGTTCCTTAATGTTATTATCTCTTACTGCGAACGGAAGAAATAGGGAAGGTTTATTGATTTTCCATATTTTCCCCCCCGGAAAATTCGCGAAACAGACAACCGCAAATCCAGTCGCGTTGTGCGGGTAGTATAAAGAAGTAAAAATTTCCACGCCATCGACATGTGAATTATGTAGTTTATGTGCCAGAAATAAAACAATATCCAGTGTACATACAGTGGTATTACAATACTTTCATTGTTACTAACAAGTTTTACATAGCGCATATCATATCAAATGCAATATGAGTATTGCCGCCCCTCAGAAACGCATCAATATCATTTCCCGCAGTGATTCTTATGAATCTGCAATTAATGATATCCGAACCATTGCTTTTTATTACAATATTTTCTAAAACCTGCACGTTTTTTAAAATATTAAGTAGGTATAGTTACCAATTTTCAGAATAATTTCTTATACCTAAATGCACTAAATCATGGCAGTCTTCAAAATCAGAAAATCGTATTGTAAATTTATTGTCTGGAGTGGCATGATATTCTTTTTAATATTTATTGTTACACGGTGGATAAATTCCTATCAGCTCATCGACGACGTTGACAGAAGAAAGAGAATGTGAGTCACTTATTTTTTTTTTAATTGTTTTTCATATTAAAACAAAAGCTTGCAAGCTATAGCATTAATATTTTACGTTTGCAGACTGATAATGGATCAATATATTAAAGCAAAATCAACTTCCAAGGCTTGCAAACAACCAAATTTGCCCGTATATTCTCCCCAATTGATGCAATTTTTTGAAGAAGTTCAACCAATTGACTGTAGTTCAGCAGGTTCACCGTGGGTATCATGTGAGGTATTCAAACAACGTTTATATGTATAAAGTACCCATGAAGAAAACATACAACACTAATTTTTGTTATAAAAAAACAGTTAATTGAAAATATTATGCATATATTTATATCATACCAGTACACATTTGTCGGCATTTTTTCTTTTTATATCCCAAAAGCGAAAATGTATGATTTGGTAAATGTGTGAAATATCTTTTTTCAACCACGTTTTCCGGGAAATATCTCCTGTTTCTGTAAAAACTGTCCTAAACTAGCCGAATTCTCAAAATCTTTTGAAGGCTTTAAATTGCATTTATTTAACTTACATTGCTTTATTATTTAAATGAAAAAATGGCTGAAAGAGTTTGTAGCAATTTCCCTATGCCACGTCGTNACCATAAAATTAATAAAAACTGTAACAAACAATTTTGAAAAAACCAACAGTTGTAGTATATATATTATAAGGTTTAGTTACAAAATCGTTAAATTGTAAAATATTTTGTATTATTTGTTTATTATCAAAAAGCCTAACGTACGCCTACTTTATGGCATTGAAGTGTTCACACATGTAGATACGGAGTAATTGCTAGACACGTAGAATTACCTACATATCTATACAGAGACACACATAAATATACCAGAACTTGTAGACTTTCTTTTTAACTACGATATTGTTAAATAATATTAGTAACATTTGGGGTTACCGGCATTAAAACTCTTATTAAGAAACAACCAATTTTTCATTTAATAGATTTGATTTAATAAATTTGCGATAGTTTTTACCAATTTTCAGAAAAATCTAAACTACACAATTTGTAAAATAAAATACCACGTAATTTCTCGGTTTATCTAAACACAAAAATAGCGTCGCAGAGTCTATAAATAAAACACTTTAAGGCACTGTGTCCTGTTTCTGCATAAATGAAATGTATGTAATACAATTACTTTCTAAAGCAATCGGAATCAGTGCCTGTAAGCAACATGTTTATTTTTAAGCAAAACGGTTACATAAACAGCATATTAAATTTTTGCTGTTATGTGACTATACTGAACAAACCTATTAGGTTTTCCCAGTGTCAGGAACAATTGTAGAATGAATCCAAAAAGTTAATTAAATGCTCATCTATTTTCAAGAAGAAAAAATACATAATAAAATAAACTTATAAGTTACATCACGAAGACATTTTCATAAAGTAACTTTTTGATTTGAAATTTATATTTTCTAATTTTATTGCCATGTTTAAATATTCTCCCATTTACAAATAACAACTCGATAAATAGTTATTTCTGTTATAGTTCCTGAAACTATTTTTATGGACGATAAACAGAGCGTAATCCATGTATACTACATCATACATTTGCGAAAAAGTAAATATTTTACATTTTCTGCTAATCTACGGCCTATCGTTTTAAAACGTTAATTTGTCGTTTAAATTACTTCTATATTCGATAATAAATATGATAATATAAGCTATTAAGTTCCTTAATGTTATTATCTCTTACTGCGAACGGAAGAAATAGGGAAGGTTTATTGATTTTCCATATTTTCCCCCCCGGAAAATTCGCGAAACAGACAACCGCAAATCCAGTCGCGTTGTGCGGGTAGTATAAAGAAGTAAAAATTTCCACGCCATCGACATGTGAATTATGTAGTTTATGTGCCAGAAATAAAACAATATCCAGTGTACATACAGTGGTATTACAATACTTTCATTGTTACTAACAAGTTTTACATAGCGCATATCATATCAAATGCAATATGAGTATTGCCGCCCCTCAGAAACGCATCAATATCATTTCCCGCAGTGATTCTTATGAATCTGCAATTAATGATATCCGAACCATTGCTTTTTATTACAATATTTTCTAAAACCTGCACGTTTTTTAAAATATTAAGTAGGTATAGTTACCAATTTTCAGAATAATTTCTTATACCTAAATGCACTAAATCATGGCAGTCTTCAAAATCAGAAAATCGTATTGTAAATTTATTGTCTGGAGTGGCATGATATTCTTTTTAATATTTATTGTTACACGGTGGATAAATTCCTATCAGCTCATCGACGACGTTGACAGAAGAAAGAGAATGTGAGTCACTTATTTTTTTTTTAATTGTTTTTCATATTAAAACAAAAGCTTGCAAGCTATAGCATTAATATTTTACGTTTGCAGACTGATAATGGATCAATATATTAAAGCAAAATCAACTTCCAAGGCTTGCAAACAACCAAATTTGCCCGTATATTCTCCCCAATTGATGCAATTTTTTGAAGAAGTTCAACCAATTGACTGTAGTTCAGCAGGTTCACCGTGGGTATCATGTGAGGTATTCAAACAACGTTTATATGTATAAAGTACCCATGAAGAAAACATACAACACTAATTTTTGTTATAAAAAAACAGTTAATTGAAAATATTATGCATATATTTATATCATACCAGTACACATTTGTCGGCATTTTTTCTTTTTATATCCCAAAAGCGAAAATGTATGATTTGGTAAATGTGTGAAATATCTTTTTTCAACCACGTTTTCCGGGAAATATCTCCTGTTTCTGTAAAAACTGTCCTAAACTAGCCGAATTCTCAAAATCTTTTGAAGGCTTTAAATTGCATTTATTTAACTTACATTGCTTTATTATTTAAATGAAAAAATGGCTGAAAGAGTTTGTAGCAATTTCCCTATGCCACGTCGTATTTTTTAAAAAATGATGCTTCCCTTTGATGATCGTATTCAATAGAATTTCCCTGTGTTCGGTTCTCAATTCGCCTGTACTGTATAATGTGGGTATTAAATACTAAAAGAAAACCGCAACTGCTAACTCAAAAATTGCAAATTTCTGATGAATATTCAATATCTAAAATTTTCTATCAGGTAATATTTTGGGATAATGTGCTACAAAAATTGCGTTGCATGTAATAAGTGATTACATATCAATTAATAACATTTCCAGAATTCCGAATGTAAAATTGAAGACGAAGCAAAAAGGAAATTTGGAGAAATTACTTGTACGTTTACTGATCAGATACGAGTAGACGACTTCACTGTAGTATCAGGAAAATCGACGATGAGAACATCCGTCTATATTCTTAGAGATAGTGATGTTGTAAGTCAATTTTGAAATAGTATAACAGTTATTGTTAGGATACACAGCAAGTAAAATTATAGCAAACTCACAACAAAGCATCTGCCGATGCGCCAAGATTTTTAATTATAATTTCCCGAAAATAGTTGCATTCTTATAGAGCGCGCTTTTTATTAGTCACGCTAGTGTGAGCCGTACGGCCAGTTGTCTCGCACTCTTTTTTATCCTGAAACTGAAATTTAGTAAATCATACATGCATTAAATACCTGCAATCTAATGTACAAAACACAACTTCCGAATTGCTAAATTACGTAGATATGTTAGATAAGTAATATAGGAACAAAACATGATAATATGTCATTTTGCTTAGCTTTGCTTATTTTTTCCATATATAAAGTTTGTTGCACTAAGATGCTTCACTCTAGCTGTAGACTAGGCCTTACACCGCGTGTGTATTGTAGCTTCGCTCAATAAATATTTTTAAAAAGACTTTTCCTTAATTTGAGCATATAACAATTGGCGCAGTCAGTAGGATTTGTCAGGTAAAGGCAAATCCGATTCTAATAAAGTTTAAAAATCGATTTACTAAGTGACTACGTGAAGCCGTTTGCTTTTCGTCGGTTCGGTAAACCGGAAACAAAAAACTGTCCAAACGAACTGTCCAAAACTGTGCATCGTTTAAGTTTTGTGCGTTTGCCGAGTTAGCAGTTAGAAGCCGTTTGCTTCGACCTTGCCTAATAAGACCTCCGAAAAAGAAGACTGTCAAAAGGACGTCTCACCCCGTTTCCCTCCTGCGAGGACCAGACCAAGCAGCTGTATGTTTCGAATCATCCTAACCATCGTCACACTAGTGGACTACTCAAGGTAGGTGGTTTGAAGATATTTGCCATTTTCATATTTTTGTACGAAAATCCTTTCCCTATTCCCTAATTGCTTTTATTATCGAATAATTTTGTGTCAATCATGACCGAACAAGGAGACAGTTATTCTAGGAAAGAATTGTCTGAATTAATTCCAAATTTTGATGGTGATAATATTCCATTACACCAATTTGTTGAAACAGTAGATTTTGTTTTCGAAAAAGCAAAAGCCAGTGACCAAGAATATTTATTTAGAATTATTTTAAATCGGTTATCAGGTCGTGCAGGACGAGTGATTCTCGCAAGGCATTATGATAACTGGTTAAGTGTCAAAAATTCATTAATTACTAATTTCGGACTTGAACGTTCCGCTGAATGTTTAATTGCAGACCTCACACGATTTAGAAATACAAATAAGCTTTCCATTAAAGAAACTTATAACAAAATTGCCAAAATTCGCGATGATCTTATCGCAGTAGCTATTGAAAACACTTCTGAGGATGCAAACCCAATTGATGTTCTGTCAGAGTTTATAGATAAAATAGCCAAAACAACATTTTTAAATAATATACCGAAAGATGTTGAAATATCTATTGCTCACGCTCAAGCGCAAAGTTTAGAGGTAGCTTTTTCCTATGCGTATTCGGCGCATAAAAGGTTAAAAGAACGTGAAGATCAGGAGAAATTCGCTCAATTTAAATCTAATAATAATAAACTTTCTCAAAATAGAGTAATAAACAATAACAACAAAAACACATATTTCAAAAAAGAAACCAGTAGTAGTAATGAGTTATCTCCTAGGCCGAGTGCTTCATCAACAAATACGTTTAATAGATCATTTAATAGTAATAACGATAATAATCCAAATCGCCGCTCTTTTGGTACCCCCTTCAAAGGTTTTCCTAAGCAACCCCCAAAAGTTAACACATGCGAGATCCAAACTGAAAATCCCGAATCTGATCCTGAAGATAATGAAGTTGAACTGGACAATTTAAACTTGGATGTGAACGAAGCAGAAGAGGGTTGTTCGTTCAACTAAATGAAAATCCCTCAACCTTATGTAATTTTAAGATTAACACTACCAAAATAATGACAGAAATTGTTCCATTTATTATTTCAAAAATTAAAGGTATTCCAGTCAAATTAATGATTGATACAGGTGCCTCTATAAATTTGATCAAATATAAACCAGAATTGAAAAAATTTATAGATTTTATAGATACTGTTAGTGTTTCAGGATTAAATGCTGATTCGTTTAAAACATTAGGTTCCATCACAACAAAATTCAAGGAAAAAAACGTCAAGTTTCATGTCGCACATTTAGATATAGAATTAGATGGAATACTAGGCATTGAATTTCTTAAAACGTTGAATTGCAATTTAGATTTACATCACAATAACATTTCTTTCTTAGAAAACAACGACAAGATCCCGATTCATTTAAAAAAGGAAACTAAAGTGCTTAATCATATAGTACTTCACAAGCGTGCCGAACAAATAATTAGGATAAAAACTAACTTAAAACCGGGAAGTGAAGGTATTTTGCCAA